TTGCAGCCCACCTGGTCCCCTCTGCTGGCATCTCATCTCAACCCTTCCTGAAAGGCCCTTCCTCGAGAGAGGATGCAGGGCAGGATGGCATCCAGGCCTTTTTCTTCTGAGTGATCAGGGCTACACAGCAAAACCACCACTCCCAGCTCTGCAGCCACAGATGGACTCAGACTGGGGACAGGACAGACAGCACCATAACAGCTGCAGTATGTCCATTCCTCCTCTCTCACACAAAAGGATCCAGGCATTTTGGTCTTTGGATCTCCAGGGATTAGAGGAAACCATTGCAAGATATTGCTGTGTCTGGATCTCCTGTGTCCTACCCTTCCAACCACCTCCACTCCAGCTCAGATATTGCAGATACTCCTGGGTACCACTCACTGCCAGGCAAAGGAAAATGGCTGGGAAATCCTTGGTTTAACTTCTCCCTGCCCAGGAGAGCACCTACAGCCCAACTCCACGGCCCCCATGCGGAGATCTGTGTGTTCCCAGAACAGGTACTGACTGAGGGGCAAACAGCAGCAGCAATGAGCAGCCCAGGGACACAGAAACCCATGTGTGCTCCTTGGCCTTGCTCTAGGCCAGGCTGACCAGCACCGGGAGCAGCACTTCCCATCACAAGCCCCTGGTTCTGGCCCTCTGGACCTCTCTGGCCTGACAGCTCCGTGCCACAGAGAGCCTGGGACACCAGGAAGGACAGCGACCAGCTCAGCTGCACCCACCACTGTCACCACGCTCAACCACACAGGCAAGGGCAGGGAGCCAGCACCAACCTTCACCTCAGGGTGGTCTGGGGCCACTCCAAAACGGACGAGCCCGAAGGGAACGGGCAGCTTCTCGTAGATGTCCACCAGGGCCCCGCCGTGGTGCTGCGGGAGAAGGAATTCACAGCCGGGGTGAGGACAGAGGGGTCACGGGAGCCCAGCAACACTCGTCTGCAGCTGGGGCAAACACAGGGCACGAGGATGGGCTGCAGCAAGCCAGAAACTGCCTCTTCCAGACTTTTCCGTGAGCAGGATGATGCTGCAGCTGTTACTGCCAGCTCAGACCACAAGATGTAGCACAGAGTGACCCCAACCACCACGAGTCCATCTTGGGGGCTCCATCTCCCTACCCAGACCTCAGCTCCTTTTCCACACCAGCCTGGTGGGTATTCAGTACCTGGGGGGCTGATCAGAGAGCCCCCACGCCAGCTGGGAAGCAGCCAGTACAGCACCCTGCGTGCTGGGGGACCTGCCAGACACCTCCCAGTCCCCAGCAGATGCCCGTGCCCTGAGATGGCCTGGGCTGAGTCACCTCAGGGCCAGAGCCTCAGACAGAATCTTGGCTGCAAGGCTTTTGTTATCTTGTATTTTGAGTCGGCCTCTTCCCAAGATTAAGCAGCCCTGAAATTCGTCCCTGAGGCTTAGTAACAGCTATTTTCCAACACATTCCAGAGACAGAACAGCATGGTTTAATGATGGGGTTAAGCTGCTGTATCTCTGGAGGGTGCCAATAGCCCAGTTCTGTAGTCAGCTCTCATTCCCCAACAGACCTGACTGCCCAGAGCACTGAAATTTGCAGACACAAGGTAAAGCATCACCCATGTGCCTTAATTCTACTGGGGGAGGAGGGAGGTGACACAAACACGTTAAACACACAGTTAATGTCATTCCTGCTGGGTGACAACAGCTTTGAGTGAGGCAGATTCCTGCTGATTATCTGAGTCTAGAAAAATCACTCGGGATGAACTCACAGCAACCAACCTAAGTCCTGAATGGACGACCCAGGGGCAGGGCAGGGATGAAAGAAGCGCTACCGACCCCAGGCAAAGGGGCCCAGAAGGACCTGGTGGGGCCTGGGCAGCCCCAGGCAGCCCCCCAACAACACCGACCCGAATGGAGCAGGGCCGGGAGCCCAGTAAGCCACCCCAGAACCTGCTGCGAGCCGGGCAGGGCAGAGATGCCTCCCTCGGAGGGCAGGTCCCAGCGCGGTACCTTGAGGATGTGCTGAGCCGTGTAGAAGCCGGCGGGGCCGCTGCCCACCACGCAGAGCCGAGGCGCCGGGGCAGCCGAGGACAGCCACCGCCGCAGACCTGCAGGGGACAACGACAGGCAGGGCGTGAGGCCACACGAGCCGCCACACGAGCCGGCACCCGCCCGGGGCGGCACGGCCCCTCCCCGGAGCCCGGCACCCACCGAGCGCGGCTCGGGGCCCCGCGCCGGCCATGGCCGAGCGGAGCGGAGCGGGTCCGGCCTTTGGTACCGCACCCGGGAGGCGGGCACGCCGCGAGCTCAGGACAGCGGCCTTGGCGCTTAGGGCCGGGCCGGGGCCGGCGGGTGGCAACTGCTCCACAGCCCCAGAGCCGAGACCCCCGAAGCCGCGCACCGGGGTCCTGAGGGCTCCGCGCCTCTCACAGCCCCGGGGGTGGAGCACGGGCCTGCGGGGCGCGGTGCCCGCAGCCCCTCGGGCCCGCAGCCCCGGCTCTCACGGCTCTCCCGCTTATCCCTATCCCTATCCCGCTCCCGCTCCCGCTCCCGCTCCCCCCGGACACGCGTCTCCCCGGGCCGCGTTCCGCTGCCGCCGCCGGGCCCCGCCCCTCCTCCTCGCCGACCAATCGTGAGGCGTCACAGCGCATTGTTTAGCATAACCCCTCCTCCCACCGCGGTCGGGCCCCGCCCCTTCTCCTCACCGACCAATCGTGAGGCGTCACTGCCCCTTGTTTAGCATAATCCCGCCTCTCGCCACCACCTGGCTCCACCCCCGCACCGGCAGCCAATGGCAGCTCGCCGTTTCCACCGCGGCTGACCGGAAACGCGGTGTTACCATAGAGAGGCGGGGAAGGAAGAGCCGTCTGGCGGCCGTTCGCACCGCCGCTCTCTATGGTGAGACGTCCGCGGCGCGCTCCCGCAGCATCATCATCAATGCTGCTAATTGCTTGCGGCCCTGCATCGCCCAAAAAGCGACCAGCTGCCGAGGTCTGCCGGGGAAAGCGAACCTCAGACTGATTGTAACCGTGTGCTGCACAGCGACCCAGCTCTTGCCAGGAGAAAACCCCAGCGTCCTTCGCTAAAGAGTAAAATATCAGCTCCAGAGAGAGTGGATAAATGATGCTGACAGACATCCTGCCCCAGCGTCCCCATGGTCTCTGCTGTATTTCCTCCGTCATCCCCGTCACTCAGCACATGTTAAATGCTCTCAGCTCCCATGCAGGAGCAGCACATCCCTTCTTGGTCCAGCCCTGCACAACACACCAGACAGAAAAATCATCTCAGCGAGCCCAGCAGACATTTGGAAGTTGGCCAGAAGCCAGAGCACGCAGGCAAGTGCTTGATGGGGCTTTTTAAATGCAATTAAGACCATGAGGAGTTTACAGCCAGGAGCTGCTGGTAATATGGATCATAAAATTCACACACTTTTTCTCCTGGTCTTGGAGATGAGCTGATGGCTCTCTGCAAAGGCACGCTGGAAATGGAGCTGGCTCTGTGCCTCCTTCTGCACCCGCTCTGCCGGGGGCTGTGGCGAGCACCGGGAATTCCAGCGGCTCCAAACCCTCATCCTCAGGTCAGCAGCACTCACTGAGCCCTGCCCAGGGAGCCAAGGCTGAAGGTTCCCCACAGAGATCATCCACAAAAGCAGTCGGTTTAAATTTGGAGGGTTCCAAGCACATGAGTCAGAATCCTCCTTTTTTTTTTTTTTTTTTCCAGAATTCTCCCTTTCCCCCATTAACTTCTGTATCCAGCAGTTCTGGCAGGGAATAATCCATCCATTTCCCAAATCACAGGCTGTCTCCTGCTGGCTGAGGGACCTGCAAACACTCGCCTTCAGCTGGCATTGCTTTAAACAACATCCATAAAATCCAGCTGGGAAAAGAGCTGTTGCTCTGACCGGTGCCTGGGAACATTTTGGGGCTTGATCTCTTTGCAGCAGGAGAGGGCAAAAGAGCATTTTGTGCCCACAAACAGGAACATGTGAGGTTAAGATCACCCCACCTGAACCAAAAGCACCTCTAATGCCCCCTTGTCCCCTTGCTGGAGCTGGGAATGCCAGGAATTTGTCACCTTTATCTTATCTCTGATGCTCAGTTGAGAGATTAATTGGGGAAGGGGTGAGGTGCTCTGGGGAGGGTCTCAGCCCCCCCAGAGCATTCAGGCCCTTTGCTCTGGCCATACCCCTCCAGCTGCTGTCCCACCTACAGACCCAGCCCAAGCCCTGCTCAGAGGATGGGAATTTGCCCTCTGGGTGTGTCACAATGTCCTGGATCCATGACCCACAGGGGCCTGGAGAGGGTGGCAATGCCAGCAGAGCAGTGCATCAGCAGCCCCTGGAGCCCAGCCCAGGGTAAATCAATAATTCAACATTTCTGATGCCAAAGGGGTCAGGCTGGGTAGATCCAGGAGCACTGCTCCTGCTCCTGAGTCTGGATCTCTGCACAGGGATGCCATGGAGCCTGGCACGTGCCAGCTCCGGCCCCACAGCACAGGGAGCTTCTCCTCAGGAGCAGGGCACAGCATCCTTGAGCCTCCTAAATCCACAGTGTGGCACTGCAGGGGTCCAGCCCTGAGGGGAGGACAACTCAGAGAGCAAAACCCCAGGCTGAGGGCAAAGCCACACTGCTGCCAGCCTGGCCACCTGCCTCCTCTGCTGCCTCTCCCCAGCGTGGCCCTGGCGTGGGCTTTGCCATCGGTCTCGCAGGTCTGGGGCAGCAGAGCACCGGGCTGAACACACACAGCCTCCCACAGGCGCCTTGAAGAGGCCAGGTGAGCATCCCAGCCCTGGCAGCAGCACAGGCAGAGCTCACCCTCCCCAAACAAGGAAAGCTCCCACGCCCGGGACACCTGCTGCTCTGGCAGATGATTCCCTGATGAATTCCTGCCACAGCAATGCCCAGGGGCCACCTCTGGCACCCCAACACAGACACCCCCATGGGTGCCCCCACTCCTGCCCTGGGCACCACAGGATTCCAGTAAAACTTCCTCCAGCAAAAAACCCCAGTGATAAAGGAAATCCACCCCAAAGTGTTAAGGCCGAGCTTATCTTTGAAACAAATCTTTGTTCCTAGAAGGGACTGATTTAGCCCAAAGCACAAGCAGCAGTGACACAGCCCCCTTCCCACATCCACCCCTTCCCTGAGACCCCGAACAAACAGCTGCAGCTCCATCCTGCAGATCCTGGTGCTTCTCAGTTCTGCGTGTCCCGGACGTGGTGTCACATCCCCCATGGACGGGGTGGTTTCCTCTCCCCAAGTGTCAAAGCAGAGTGGATAAAAGTAAGCCCTGGCTGGGAATAACTGTGGGGAACCCCGATTTTTGTGTCCCTGGTGTTGCTCTCCCCCTGCCATGGCTCTGTGCACCATTTTCTAGCCAAAAGCAAGAGTTCAGGGAGGGATGTTTCTACACCATGACTTCATGGAGGTGCTGGTTCCTGCTAAAACCATCCCTCTGAATGTCCCTGCGGGAAACAGCCCCCCAGGTGCTGCAGCCCCCGTGGTCCTCACTGGATGCCCACCAGCTCCGTTATGGGGGGAGCATGGACCATCAGCTCCTCGTATCTCTGGAGGAACAGCCAGAGCCTGGAGCTGTAGGTGTCCTCGTTGTAGGGCAGCTTCTTCTGCTTCAGGTACTGGGAGACGATGGGCTTGATCTGCAAAGGCAAAGGTAAGGTCACTGCTGTGCAGGGTGCCCTGGTGTTTGTACAAATGTGCCCAGAAAACACACCCAAAGCTGGGCTGGAGCACGCAGCACCAGCTGCAGTATCTTTGCTGTGAACATTAAGAGGAAGGTGGTTTCCAGTTGCAGCATCGCAGGGAGTTCACCCTGGCAAAACGCCTTTGGAGGGCTCCAAATTAGGAGAGATGCCCTAATGAGGCTTCTAATGAGCGCCAGCCACGAATGCTCGTCATTCACACCCATCATTATTGGCCCACACAACTCGTTGATGGGACTGGGAGCTGCCACAGGCTTAATGACCTCCTTCCCTGTGACAGCTCTTTGGGGAGGTCGGTGCTGCCAGCCCCGTGGGCTCAAGAAAAGGAACTGAAGACAAGGGCCCAGCACTTGCTGTGGCCATCCTGGGCTGGAGGGCAGGGTATGCACCTGCCCTGGATCCCCTCCAGCCGGGGCACTGCTCAGAGCCCACGTTCTGAACACACCCCGCACCTCAGAGCGGCAAGCAGGGGCATGACCAGAGTGACAGCAGGTTTGCCTGGATGGTGTCTGAACCAAAAACCGGACTGCGCAATGCTGGGGATACTTTCCCAATGGAATAGCTGGGAGGATCCTGGACTGCTGGAAGGCTGGAATTGGGACCAGGAGAAGGAGAAGGGAGCAGAAACCCAGGAGAAACAGGAATGGGCTGGCAGGAGATGGGCTAGGGACTGTTGCAAAGCAGTGGGTGGTTTCCAACACGAGAGGAGCAGCACAGACAGGTCTGTCCGCGGGGGCGGGGGGCGCGGGAAGATTTCCCGTCCCTGTGTCACCTCCCGGTCACCCCGAGGAGTCGGCTCACCTTCAGGCACATGTTGTCAGAGAGGCTGGGGAAGAGGTGATGCTCCACGTGGCAGCTGATGAGCGAGTGGCCGAAGGACCAGTCGAGGAGGGGGTTGCGGGGCAGGTTGAGGACACCCAGGCTCATGAGGTGGATCCGCTTGGGTTTGCGGTCGGCCGCGAACATGGGGAGGCCAATGTGCTGCAGGAGAGGAGGGAGGGCACCCTGTGGCACCTGTCACCCCCACAGTCTCTTCCCAGCGGAGCCAATGGCAGCTCTGCCCGTGTGTGGGCACGAGGAGCCACATTTTGGGGTCTCTCTGTCAGCCCAAGAGCTGGGTTTGTCCCTAAAGTCATCCCAGCTTGTGTTTGTCCGTGGAGCCACCAAGGCTCTGTTCCCCCAAAACATCCACACTTGGAGCCACCAGCCTCTCCCCACCCTACAGCCTGGAACACCACCTGAAACACATCAGCCCTGCCAGTCCTGCCAGCCACTGCAGGAGACACCATCCTCACAGCCTTTGCACTCACCTGCCCTGACATTTTCCAAGGGCCACCACTTTCCACCCAGCACCACCAGCCTGATCCTCCTGGTGACAACATCAGCACAACTGCACCCACACGCCTTAAGGTGACACAAGCTCCAGCTAGAACCATCAGGGCACTGGGTGGTGGCTTGCCTGTCTCCAGCACTGTTGGGATACCTTGAAGCTTCAGGTCTCTACCTGGAATATGTTGACATGGATGTAGGGATGGGCCAGGAGGGAGCGGGTGACCAGCATGCAGAGCAGGGCAGACCACGGCGACTGGAAGCCCGAGACATGGAGCAGGAGCCAGTAATGGCAGTAAAACCCCAGAAACATGCAGCACAGGGTCCGGAGAGCTGCCTTCCACTCCACGTTCCTCAATAAATCTGCACAAGGAAGAGGAGGCAGCGCATGGGCGAGGTGTTGATGTTTCCATACCACCACTGCTGCTCCAGCAGTCAGTGTGCCAATAGCTCCACAGCCCAGCCCAGCCCATAAACTCACTTTCCCCATCCTCCAGGTTGCCCCAACCCTATAAAACTGCTGGGGTGTGGGTCTGAGAGACTCTCCAGAGCAGCAGATCCAGCTGTGCAACATCATTCAGGGGATTTGGACGCACCTTGGTTTCTTACAATTTGCCAAGTCATTGCTCGTGCATTTCGCGCTGCTCAGAGCTGGGTCAGTCAGCCTGGAGAGCTTTTCTTCCCCAGCCTCTTACTGCTTTCTGGGCTCTTCTCTCTGATCGTTTTCTGGCACCATTATTTCCCTGGAGCCACCACCTTTCCTGCCCAAGCTCTTTGTGTCTGGGCCCTGCAGTGCCCCAAACCTCCACCCCATACATGGCCACCAAACACCTCATGTGCATCTGATCAACCTGAGACCCATGTGTGAGACTGAACCCCATCATGGCCACAGATCTGAGTTAAAGGAGAACAGATTTGGGTGCTGCAGGCTTATGAGATGGCTTTTGCCAGAGATTTCAATATCCAGTACAAGAAAAGGTGAAGTATTTTCTCAGCATCAGCAGAAAGCAGATGCAGAAGATGTGGTCCCCAGGGCAAGTGCAGCATCTCCTGCCCGTCCTGCAGTGTCCCACCAGGGGCTGGTGTAGTTAATGTGATGCCTCCAACCAAAGCAGAACCCTTGGGTGGGGTGAGACCTGGGCAGTCACAAGCTTCCCACACCCAACACCCGGTCCCACGGCGCCCGGGACACGTACCAAGTGCCACCAGAGGGGTTAGGATGGGCACTGCGAGAGGAGCCATGAACATGTAGACGTAGCGGTTCAGGAAGGGAAGCTTCCACGTGCTGGAGTCCCCCAGTCCAATGATGTTGGTGTAGCCGTGGTGGATCTTCACGTGGTTGTACGTGGCCTGCTCAACTGTGAAAGCTGAGCAGAGCTGGGAGGGAAGAGAGTTGTGGTGCCAGGGTTGGGCACTGCCTGGCTTGGGCTTGTGTGGGAGGAACCTGAGGAGATGCTCTGGAACCACAATGAAGCACCATGGGGAGATGCTCTGCACCCCACAGATCCCAAACCAGTCTGGTAATGGACTTTTAACAGTTAAGCACTAGAAACCCTTCCCACCATTCCAAACATTGCCCACCACCACAAGGAGCTGATGGGGTGTTTTTGGGGGCTGCCCCACTCACCTCAATGAAGAAGATAGCCCACACTTTGCTCCAGGGCTTGGACTCAGTCAAGGCATTGTGGCTGGCCAGGTGGCTGCCCTTGACAGTCAGGGTGTGATGCACCACGCCAAGGGTGAGGACACCCGCCAGGAAAGGGATGGCCTGGGATGACCGCAGGCACAGGAACCCTGTGGAGAAACCAGCCGGGCAGGAGCTCGGCCATGCACACGTCCTGCAGCCCTCTGAGCCAGGCTGGAGGTGTTGCTACACCCAAACACGCCAGCCACTGCCCTAAACCTGTTCTTCAGTCGTAGTTACAGGTGTTTAAACCACACAAGTCAGAATTTGCCTCCTCATCGTCCTCATGACTGGACCAGCCACACTCACCCCTTGTGCTGAAGGTTTGGCCACTTCCAGTCTCGATGGCAATGAGTGCTGCAGGAGCCTGATCCCACCCCACAGTTCTGGGATGTGGGGTTCCACTGGTGCCACTACTCCGCCAGGATTTCAGCATCCCCAGGAGTTGAACAGCAAGAGAAGGTCCCAGCTTTCCAGCCATCCCACCAGAGACCCACGCTCAACTGTTTTCCCTTGCACCCACCACAGCCAGGGCCACTGCCACCAAACCACCGTGTCCCCTGGTGGGACACATCACCCATTGCCCTGCCCTGTGCACATCTGCCTGGGCACCATCCCCTCAGCCCAGGCTGTACCCCAGATGCCACTGGCCCCTCAGCCCAGGCTGCACCCCGGGTGTCATTGTCACCTGCTGTTAGGGGTCAGAGTGCATCAAGTCACGGGGTGAAGGAGTTACTGTGGCTTTGTTACAGCCTCAGTAGGTGCCAGCAGGCTCCCAGCATAAAGCAGCATGAGGAGCCAGTGGGACCCCAGGGAACCCTCCCGGCCATGGTTTGGGGGGGCTGAGCCAGGTTACCTGCTGGCAGCAGGAGGAAGCTGCAGGCAAGGATGCTGATGTCCACGCCGTGCCGTTCCCACCAGCTGCTGCTCTTCACCACCTTCTGCACCAGCTCCGAAAGCTCGGTCATCAGGGCTTCCTCGGGCTGCCATGCTCGCTCTGGGGCTCCCCCGGGGGTCACATCCCCGTCACCCAGTGCCGGCCCCGGCTCACAGCCCTCTGCCATCGCGTCTGTCCTGCTGGCAGCGGGTGCTGCCGTGCCCCGGAGCGAGGGGTCCCCCATCCCCCTGGGCCGGGGGACACCGCTGACCTCACCGTTGACCTGCCGTCCCCTCGGCCTCGTCCCATCCTCCATGGGCATCTCCCTGCCGAGCAGAGGCCACGCAGGGTGTCACCCGCAGGGCACCAACCCCAGCACCCCGAGCCACCGCGCACGGGCTCGCCGGCTCCTGCTGCCGCCGAAGGACACGGGAAGGGCAGGGATGGGAAAAAACAAACAACCCAAGGAGAACGCAGCCAGCAGAGACGGCCAGAGAGCCACCCAGCCATCCACCCCACCGCAGGGACACCGCAGCCCCCTACTCACGGCAGCCCCGGCGCGGGGGCTCTCCCGGCGCTGGCCGTTCCCGGGCAGCCCGCGCGGCTCCGGCTCCGCGGGAGCGGCGATCGGGAGGAGGAGGAGCAGGGCAGGACCGGGAGGAGGGCGAATGCAGATGAGCCGTGGCGATAATCCGCCTTCGTGGCCCATTTAGGGGAGCAGCCGCGGCAGCGGGGGCCGTGGGGAAGCGGCGGCGGCAGAGGAGGGAAGGAGTGGAAAAAAGATGGAGAGAGGCTATGGAAATGCTGGGGGCGAAGGAGCCAAGTGCCAGGAACAGCCCTGAGAAACCCAAGCAGAGAGATGAGGACAGGGATAGGGTTTCGCTTTTGCCAGGGAGAGGGAGAAAACGCCGCCTGTCCCACGTGGGAGCCGTTTTGGGGAGAAAATCGGCCTTTTCCACAGCGAGGAGGGGCTGCAGGAAGGAGGAGCCCCTGCCCGAGCTGCTGCTGCCACACCTCCGCTCTGCCGGGCTCCCACCAGCGACCAGGCCACCCCAAATCTGTCCCACGCAGCTCGGCACCCAGCTCTGACCCCCGCAGGGTCTCTCTTCTCTTCTGACCTGATTCTGCATGAATTTCCCCCATTTTCCATCACTGCCTCCTGACTCATCACCCCAGACACTGGCATCCAAAAGCTTTGGGGGTGCCCCTACACAGACCAGGGCCTCCAAAGCCCTAATTCTTTATGGAGGAAAACTAAAATCACATTGTTCCTCGCTGTAGCCCTGGATTTCTTCTTGCTTTGTTATTTCTCCTTGCCAAACCTCAAATCAGCTCAACTGATCCACCAAAACCTTAATGAACATTGACATCCATCAAATCCATATGGATTCGCAACAAATAAGGCTGGTTTGCTACACCCATCACTAGGATATCACAGCCCCAAACTGGGATGGGCTCAGCACCTCCAGTAACATCACATCATCACTGTGATTTGCAGGGAAGCAAACCTCACACCCAAGTTACACCAAGCCTCAGGGAATTGTCATCATCCTCTGAAAAAAAATTAAAATTAATAACAATTTTAAAAAATCCAAGCTGCTGCAAAAGGGGCAGAGCCGAGAGTGCATCAGAGACCTGCTGAGCTTTCATTTCCACTGTAAGAGCCTGCATTAGGAAAGACCATTTCTAGAGCCAGGGGCACTGAGGAATCCCGGTGGTGTGTGAAGCCCAGCCAGTGATTCACTCTGATGGGCGGAATGGCTTTTGCCACCTGCCCACAGCTGGGAGAGCACCCATGGGTGCTGCCAGGCCAGGGGAGGCAGGTGTCAGGCCCAAATGTGCATCGGGTGGGGCTGCTCCTGAGACACACGTACCCGCATTGTCACACCTCGGGTGTCACCACAAGGGACAGTGGCAGGAGGGTGACAGCCCTGCTCCCAGGGCGCCGTTTGGCAGAGGCAAGAGTGAGTTGTGCTGGAACTGCCATTGCACAATGGGGCAGAGCTGGTTATGTGGGGGCAGCTGAGGAGGAGGAGGGGTGGGGGTCAGCCACACATCCAAGAACAACATGATCCATGAGGATCCCACTGCAGCTGGCACAGGGAGAAGCAGGCGCATGGCGTCGTTCTGTTCCGTGCTGCCACTAGGACCAGAGACCACCTGGGAGAGGAGAACAAATCGAGGGTTGAAAACTACATGGGAGAGGCTGAAATTTGATTTCTGAGGAAAAGTGCTGAACCCAAAAGAGGTACAGGCAAGGCGAGTGTCACAATGCTGACAACAGACCAGAAAGTGTAAGAACTGCAGAGCCATAAGGACAGTCAGCAGATTCAGGATTGTAGCCCTAAATCTGCTGCCTTACAGAGCTCCATTTCCAAAAGAAACTTTTAAACATCTGATTTCCTACCACACACAGGCCAAGTCACACAATTCCCCTGACCCAGCTGAGAACATAGGGATCAAAGCAAACACTGACCTGGCCCTTGCACTGTGGACACAAACACCTCCAATTTAGCAGGGAAAACATGTGTAAGACTCAGAAATCCTTCAGCACACAGCAGGGCAGCTGAAGCGGATCAGCATAATCCCTGAAGCAGCGAGCTGGGGCCAGCAGCTGCTGACCCTGTGGCTGTCCCTTGCCCTGGGCACCACGAGGGTCCCACAGGCAGCCCCCACTGGCTCCCCAGGCATCTGCAATCCCGAGGGAGCCACGGGAATCAGACCCTGCCACTGTCCTCATCTGACCCACTCTGCCCCTAGGACTGAGCCCAGCCCCTAGAAAGGCCAAATCTGGCTCTCAGCAAGCTCCTCTCGTGTCCCTGATCCCCAAAGAGGAGAAAACAGCCATTTTAGCCTGGGACAAGGACACACATGTCAAGCCATCAGGACCCAGCAGCTGCAAGTGCTTCCTTGCCGAGCCCTCCCAGGGTCCCCCCCAGCCCGGGGGACAGGATCCGCTGCAGTGCTGGAAGTGCAGCTTCCAGCCCAAATCCAGGAGTATGGAAAGGTGCAGTATTTGCATCCCAGGTCGTGGAGAGGAGGTAGAGCTCCCTCAGCAGCCCTTCCCTCCCTACAGCCCACCTTGCACTCCCTCCTCCTCCTCCCCGGGGGAGGAAGGCTCAGGCTGGAGGCGCTGGCAGTGGGACAGCACCAGATGCCCTGGCTGCCTCAGCCAGACACTCCCCAAACCACCACTTCCCCTTTCCTTCCCCTGACATCGACCCATGGGTCTGCAGAGATTCACTTTTATAATACCCGGGTTTGGGCGGCACTTCCTCCCACCTCTTTCAGACCAAACGCTTTTGGGTAATTAACTTAATCAGGGATTAATTACCACCATCCCCTGCCCAGCAGGGAGACCTTAAGCACCGCCTCTTTTTGTCTTTTGGGGACTGGCAGAACTGTGGGGTCCTCACGAAGGAGAAATTCTCCGGATTCGTGCCTCGCTCCAGCCCTGTCCCCGAGCGAGGAGCTCCATCTGCAGGCAGAGCTGTGCCTCCATCACCCCGAAAGCATCTCCTGCCCCCCAAATTCGGGCCCCGGCACGCGGGTGTTTGGCAATGCCGAGTCCCACAGCTGCTGCCCAGGTACGAGTTCCGATCCCCGCTCACCCATCCACCCCAAGGCCAGCTGGGGCACCCCAAACCTTCCCTGCTGTGGGATGAGGAAAGGGAGCAGGACGGGCTGGGGAGCACGGGGCAGGCACCAGAGGGAGTCACAGCTCTGTGCAGCGTCTGTCCTTTGTTCAAAGTGCAGGAGGCTGAGCTGGTGGGTTCCTAAGGGACACTTAGCCCTGAGCTCGTGAGCTTCCAAAACGTGAGACCCAGCCTGATTTGTGTGCCAGGGAAACAAGCTCTCAGTGGACGCCAGAGCTGGCACAGCCGCCAAGACCTTGCCCGTGGGATGCAAATTCTCCTTCCAGGGACCAAAACCTTGGATGCTGGGGGGACAAAGCCACTGAGCCCCATCCCATGGGTTGCTAAGTCCTCTCCTAGGGATCGAGACCTTGTGTGCAGCCGCAGCCTCTCTGCGAGCTCCAGAGGTGCCAGGCTGGGACGGAGCTGGCGGGGGTGAGATGCCAGATCTGCCCAGGGCTGCTTTTCAGCCCACATCCTGCCAGCCCTATGAGACTTGGCAAGGTCATGCTTTTAACCTTAAATCAATACCCTTCCCGGGATATCTCACTGTTTGCACGGCACAAATGGCCACTTTAAGCCCCAGAAAACTTCCCGCTGGTGCTCAGCAGCTCCGGGAAGAGGCTGGATCCCAGCGCTGGCTAATCTGGCCGATCTGTTTGCATGGCAAGGGCCAGACGATGGCGAGACGGGGCGGGCAGAGCCCTGGGGCATGCACTGGCTGCGGGGGAGGCGTTGTGAACAATGTCTGGTCTTATCCAGGCTCTTTTGGTCTTATCCAGGCTCTGTGTTGGTCCAGTGCTGCCCTGCACTGCCCCGGCACCTCCGCATGGACGTGGCTGAATGGCAAAACCCCACAAAGGACATTGTCCAAACAGAAAGGAGTTGGAGGCTCTACACCCTCCATGTCATTCTCACCATCCTTTTCATTGCTGCTATATTTTTCTCTTCCATTTGACCCTAAGATGGGTGCTGGAGGGATTGTAGGTGAGGAATTGCTCAGCCAAACCTCAGTGATGTTCACCTGGGGTGACAACACCTGGGATTTACCTGCCAGCAGCAGCCAGGTATGGAGACATCAACCTAACTCCTCGCTCTGGCAAGCTTTAGGGGCTACATGGCAGTGTAGAGCCTGAACCCTCCTGGCTCTGGGGTTGGGACAGTGGTCCTCCAGGTCCTGGCTAGGCCAGAGTGCTGCTGTTTTACAGGGACAGACCATGAATAACCCTGCACTTGCAGGGTGGGGACAGACCCTTGGGACCGCCTGACAGAGTGGGAGATTCTTCCCAGCATGGAGTTAAACACAGGCCTGGTATCAGCTGTGCCATGGGCCCAAACACAAACACCTCCCCTCTTCCTTTCCTAGTAGCCACCTGCAAATACAAGAACCCCAAAGCTCAGGGATAAGCACCCTGAGATAAGGAGTAATTTCTTTACTTCCCAAGGCTGCATGAGACTCACAGCAGTGGCTGGTGAAGGGGGGTTTATTCAAAGCACATGGAAACCAAAGCCAACACAAAGTCCTGCCCCGAGCCCTTGGATATCTCAGCCCAGGGCTCCAAGCCACAGCAGCAAAACCCACCTTTCCCCATGAGCACCCCCAGAGCCCCTGGGGACTCGCTGCATAGTCACCACCAGCATATCCTGATACCAGTGGAGGAGCTGGAGCTGGGTCTGTGACTGGGAGACAAGCAGCCTAATGTATTAGTTTAGTAATTAACTCCTGTAAATTGTGCATAACAGAGCAATTAACTACTTTAGCCAGGCTTGGGAAGGGGGGAGCAGGAAAACCTGCGTGCTGTGGGAGTGAGGGCATGGAACAGATTCCCTAAGCCAGGCCTGAAAAACCTGGTGTTAGTCCTGGTTTATTTCCAGTGACCCCTTGGGGCCTCGCTGCACGTTCACCACCAGCATATCCTGATACCATACCTAGGCTGTGTTTTCAGTTTTATTCACTGCTTCATTCACTGTAGTTTTATTCACAACTGCTTTATTCACTGTATCAG